TTTTCCTCCGATCAATAGCTTCCACCTACATCACCGGTCATCACCTGATTCTTCTCCTATCCAGAACCCCCTTTCTCCATTTTCTCCGATCGTGGGATCCCTCCTTCAGATCTGGATCTACGTTTCTCCAAAATTTCTGTCTTGGGTGTTTTTGTTTCATATTCTGCAATTTCCTGATGTTTGGTGCTTAAACTTGTATGAATTTGCTAAAAGTGAATGATATTCAGTGATTCGTTGCTTGCTACTCAGTGTTTACCACTACAGCCACCGGTCCGTAGCTTGCCCCAAATTGCTTTCTTAAGAATATGTTCGTGTACCAGTCTTTAGTTTCTTTACATCTATGTTGATACAGATGGTTTCTGCCTTGTGTTTCTTCTAGTTTCATATGCAATTTCTTGATTCATCACACCCTAGATCAGAGACCAAATTTGTGTTTGGATTTTTGGAAGCCTCTTCTTCTTCTTCAATCTCCATGAAAGTAAAATCGAGATTTGAAACGATTTTACCATAAAATTGCAATTTTACGATTTTTCCTTCCGATTTCATGAGATTTTGATTTTAACATAGATTTTACTCGAAATCCATACCTAAAATCTTAAGATCTTACGATTTAAAACTCGATTTTAACCATGATTACTATTGCTGCCGTTCCCCGTGGGGAATGGGGATCCCCGCCTTTTGTAGCCAGGGACAAGCTGCCAAATTGATTATTGTATCATTTCCCTGTCGTTATCCAATTTAATAAAACAGGCGCTCATTTCATATCAAAAAAAAAAAAGCAATTTCTATCCATATATTGAACTTTTTTGTTTGATAGATTTTTGTTTCAAATATTGTGGTTGTGGAATGGTAATTTAGTATTATGAATGCTATAAAATTTTATTTGTATGTTTTGATTTGACTATTTCTCTTGTGAGTATATGATCATTAAGCTTGGATTGAAATAGTATGAATTTTTAAGATTTTGATTTTGTTTTGGGAAAGCAAGAGGGGAAGAAGAGAGAGAGGAGGAAGAAGACAGGTTGAAAAAGTTTCTTGTTTTTTTATTAAAAATATAAAAATTTATCTTCATGTCATCATTTTTTTCTCGTTGGATTATTCATATCATAAAAAAAATATATAAAAAATGTCACATGACGAAGTTAACTGTCTAAATTGACGAAAAGATTGGAGTGCATTTCGTACAGTTGAGGGATAAAAAAAGTGCAAAATTTTGTTAAGGGATGAAAAATATACATTTTGTAAAATTGAGGGATTAAATTTAGCATTTAACCATTAACTTATAAAAAAAAAGGATAAAAAAATTATCCATGTTTTTATTTGATTGTCCCGTTTATTAAATCAAGGTTTTTTTTAATTGTCCCACTTTTTATTTTTGGAAGATATTAAATTCTCTTATTGCAGATTCACACAAATCTTTTTTTTTTTGTCTGTTCTCCCCCCTTCTTTCCTTAAACCAAACAAACTCTAAGATGCGCTACAAAGACCGTGGAAGGCTCTCTTATTGGATCGATGTTGTACACTTGTACGGGCCTACCTAAGGATAAGGATTACGTAAGAGAAAGAAATTAAGGGGAGCCTTTGATAGGCCAAAATGCCACACTTCTATTTTTTTTTTAAATACTGCTATCTTTATTCTTTTCTTATGTTAAAAATATATAAAATATTAATTAAAATGAAAATGTTTATTTGACTTATTTTTTAAAAATTAAAAAAATATTATTATAAAATTATGTTATTTTAATAAATACATATTGAAAAAAATTAAAATAATTTATTTTAAAAGTATATATTAGGGTTTTTTTATTTTTATTTTTTAATTTTTTGAAGGTAAAATAGATAAGCATTAATCTCAATTAAAATTAATAAATTTATATTTTTAGATAAGGTGTTGTGTGAAGAATATTTGTGTAAAACATTTTCAAATTATGAAACTTTATAGTTGCTGTATTTTTACTTTTGCTTAACATTTTTATGGGGTTGAGGTTTTTTAGGTTGATCCCCACTTTTATTCTTGTAAGTCCATCAAAAAAAACACATTTTTGTATCTTTATATAATACTATTACTACAAGTTTAATCATGTCTTTCCAAATTTAGTTGTCATATTTTGGGTAAGCTGAAGCATTTTTATTGCTATAAAAACCTCAACGATAAATATGAAATTTTTACGTAATATAAAATTTAATGTTCTGATAATTGTGTTTCTAATAAACTACAGCTTGAGGAAGATATTATATATAAATGACAAAGATAAATATCTGGAATAACAATATATTAGAAAATTTATTAATTAAAGTTATTTAATAAGAATTTATGTTAAAAAAAATTCAACTATCATTCATACTATAATATACACAAATATATGAAGTACTTAATATTTTAATCTTAGTTGTATATAATATTGCCGCAACAACAAAATCCTCCTAAAAATTCTTAAATACCTATTCATTAGACTTTAAAATCCTCAGTGAATACACACATTGAACTATAAAAAATCAACATGATACCAAATGGGTTTTAAAAATTTGTAATAAATACCCAATAGATTTTTTAAAAAGTACCTATTAAAGAGTAGTTTAAATCTAACATATATAATATTGCAATACAATAATAAAAAAATAAATTACTAATATAGAGAGGGATTTACAAATATATATATACACACTCACATACATAAACACACGGAAATAATATGAGAGAGTGAAGGTGAAATGGATGCAAATGAGTAATTAAAGTCCAAAATAATGTGAAAAAATATAAGTTTAAGAAAGAAAAATGTTAAGAGATACAAGTATTAAGTTAAACCTGAATTAAAATACATAAATATGAGAATGAAACAAACCAAAAAATTGAAAGTGCTTCAAAGGAAGATGAAAAACGATTAATACATGCTTCAATTTAACACACTTTTCAACACTATTGTGATTCAATCATTAAAATATAATATAAATATAATTGATATAATTAGTTATTATGTATTATATGGATGATTGCATTTTTAAGTTTGTTTATTTTTAATTGCAGATTAAAAAATAATAATTTTTTAATAAATATGTTGTATAATATGTTGAACAAAAGATGTATCAATCAATGTCATAGAAAGATATATAATAGATACTAACTGGTATACCTTTCAATTCAGCATGTTATACAACGTATTTATTAAAAAATTATTATTTTTTAATTTGAAGTTAAAGACAAATAAGATTAAAGATATAGCTATGCATACATGTTATTAGAATCAATTGAATTGCTGTACTTATATAATATTTTAATAACTAAACCGAGTAATATCGAAGGGTGTGTTAAATCAGATAATATACTAATCATTTTCTTGTATAAAAACAAATTATGAAAATTAATTTTTATTTTTTTTAAATTAAATTGATTAAATATTTAAGTTTTAAATGTTTTTCATCCCTGCAATTTAAACTCTTTTAAATTAAGACATTTAAAATTACTAATTATGGCAAAAAAAATACTCTAAAATATATTTATAGGTAATTAGTATTATAAAAACTTGAAAAAAAATTAACAAACTACGCAAAAGACGACTTCAAGTTTAGTTAAACATAGAAGTTTGAAGTAAATAACTAATTAACTTTATATGTAGTAGGACACAAATACTGACCCACACCTAAGTTTCATGACTCACACCCTTTTCTTTTGCTGTACACTTGACCAAAACTACTTGAAAAGTGATTGGAATACATTTTGATTTAATACTTTATTTTATATATTTGTTTGGTTTAGTTATTAAAGTATGATATAATTATAGTTAATTCAATTAGTTTTTATGTTTTATATGTATAATTGTATTTTTAAATTTATTTATTTTTAATTTTAAATTAAAAAATAATAATTTTTTATTAAGTATCTTGTGCAGTCTGTAAACTAGTCTGTAAACTACTCACTCTTCCTCCCGATACAAACACATGGAACTAGCTAGTTTATACCTTACACAAGCTATTGGCTTATTGCCACCATTATTGGCTTGCCAGATCCAAATAAGCAATTTGCAAATGCCATGCTTAATGCTATTTACGAAGGAAAATTCTGGAAAATAAGTGACTTCCTTAAAAGCAAGCCAGATGCAATATCTACAACATTTGAAAATGGGCAAACTGCTCTTCACATTGCAATTACTGCTGGTCGGGGATGGATTGCCAAGATATTGATCACCGAGACTAATTCAGAAAACAGTCACCACTTGAAGATGAAAGATAAGAATGGCAACACAGCTCTTTCCTATGCTGCTCGTCATGGTATGATGGATATTGCAAAATACTTGATTGAAAAGAGCATGGACTTGCTTACTATCCCAGATGGCGACAATATGCTCCCCGTTCAATTGGCGTGCAGGGCAGGCCATGAGGACATGGCTCGCTACCTCTACCTCAAAACCCCTTCAGAACGTCTAAAGGGAGACTATGGCTTCTACCTCCTCGAAGAGTGTATAACAAAGAAAATGTTTGGTAAGAGCTCTAACATTCATCTTCTCTTTCTATAATTTTGTTATTTCATTTTTCTCTAACAAATTAACTTAATTTGACATATATCAGATATTGCATTCCATCTGCTCCGCAACTGTCCAAAATTTGGAATATATAAAATCTTTGAGGATACCAAATCGATCATGTTAACCCTTGCTCAAACACCATCACCATTTGTTAGAGAAAATCAGCTAGTATTTTGGAGACGATGGAAATATAAATGTTAGTATCGCTTACTTTTATCTCTTTAATTTTTAATATAATTTCTCTTTTAATATATTTTCTGGCTAAAAAATAGAGTATTTTGGGGTGTTGTGCATGCCATCTTTCTTTGTTTTCCAATATGCTTTTCTGAATTTTTTAGTGTATTAAACGCTATTTTTTCTATGGCAATTGTAACTGAAGGTACAAGAGTGAAGGTGGATAAAGGAAGTGTTCTATCTGATGGTGGCAGTGTTGCAGCTCAACAAAGAGGTATAGTAGTTATGAGTTTCCTCTCCTTTTTCTCTCTAATGACTTTTGTAGAGATTGTTGGCTAAATAGGAAAGCAATAATTTATTATACCCATGAAATAACTTTTTTTTAAAAAAAAAAAATTATGAGTATAACTCATTCCTGACGGGAACACTGGTTTCAATATCCGAAATTCTTAGAAAGCAATAATGTCCATCAAATGAGTCTTTTTTCTTTTTTTTTTTCTTTTTTTTTTTTCTCCTTTTCCTAATTAGATTTCGTTATTGATTCTTATTAGTAGAATTGAAGCAAAATACTTTCTTATTAGTAGAATTGAAGTAAAATACTTTCTTTTTTTTTTCGGCCTTTTGTTCTTAATTCTTATTAGTAGAATTGAAGCAAAATACTTTCTTTTTCAACAGCAAAGAAAATATATGATTTAAAGTTGACGGATGCAATTGCCCGTAAGATTGTACATATTATATGTCGGCAATTATCAGCTTTGGATGACAATGAATTTGTGCGAAGTGGAGCAGTGGAAGCAACGTTTCAAGCTATCAAGAATGGTATCCCTGAGATTGTAATTGGAATTACAGAAGCTAATTCAAATAAATTATGGAACCATACTGATCATGAAGATTCAAGGAACATGTTTGCATGTGCTGTAGCACATCGTCAAGAGGAAGTGGCACAATATCTTTATGGATTTAATGCAAGAATTGGTACAAAAAAATTTTTAACCAAGGATCGAGATGGAAACAATTTATTACATTTAGCAGCAAAGTTAGCTCCTCGTTCTCACCTTGATTACATCTCAGGTGCAGCTTTGCAGTTGCAAAGTGAGTTACGCTGGTTCAAGGTAAGCGTCTCATACTTTTATATGTTTTGTCAATTAATAAATTTTGTATTTTGATGTCATTTTCATCTTAAATCATGAGGCTCCATTAATTCTGAGTAATGAGTTTCTCACTAAACATCTAGAATAATATTTTGAAATTAATGTAGGCAGTGGAAGGCATTGTTCCACAGTTCTACAACTATGATAAAAATAATGGTGGTGAAACTCCTTTCGAAGTGTTTGTTAAGGAACACAAGCAGGTGCTAAAAGAAGCGGAAGATTGGTTGAAGAAAACAGCAGAATCTTCTACAGTCGTAGGTGCTCTAATCATTACAATTATGTTTGCTGTGGCTTTCACTTTTCCTGGTGGGAATAATCAAAATACAGGCTTCCCTATATTTTTGGACCCTATGTCTTCGAACAAAACAACCGACTCTTCTACACTACCTTGTCCAACCGTGCCGTTCATGGTATTTGTGGTGTCAGATGCAATTTCTCTTTTTGCTGCATCTAGTTCGGTGCTAATGTTTTTGGGGATTCTTACTTCACGTTATGCTTATAAGGATTTTCTTAAATCCTTACCCGTGAAGTTGATTGTTGGCATTTCTTCACTCTTCATCTCTATTGCAGCAATGATGGTAGCATTTTGTGTTGCTCTTTTCATTATGCTACAAGGTCGCTTGTGGATAGTCATACCAGTAACTTTGTTTGCTGTTGTTCCAGTCATTATCTTTGTACTGTTGCAGTTTCCTTTTCTCATTGAGCTTTATACTTCCACTTTTAGCCGAGGCATCTTTGATAGAAAAGAACTGCTTAGGAAAAGGAAGAGATAGATAAAATTTCTGTATTTTTATGCTAAATAAATAGACGAGTGTGCTTTACATGTATTGTAACTGCAAGAAATGTTTGGTGGATCTGTATTATTTGAACATTTCGAATACTTTATAAGTGCCAAACTCTTTCGGTAATTCATATAGGGTGTTCTAAATATTCTGTCATAATATCTAGGACACGGTAAAAGCCGAAAATTGCTGGAACGCATTTGTGCAACATAAGTACATACATTTGTGCAACGTAAGGACATGTGCTTCTTAAATAGTGTTAACGGTTGGGTTGGGTTGTGGTTTGATTTTCTTTGGTATATATGGACAATATTGAACACAAGAAATGAGAAAGTATTTAGAATTGGACATGTACTGGAAAGAATGTTTGACCTAGTGCAGGTTAGAGCTTTCCAAATGATAAAAAACAAAGGGAAGGTAAGGTGCTTTTACTTTCAAATTGGCACATAAATCCTCGTTACTGCTACATCAAATGAAAGACAGAGTAGGGTGTAGAATATGAATTGGACTGATAGCATATTGCTATATAAATTGCTACTTATTGATGACTGCTTAAAAATTTTTCAAAAATAAATTTGAGAAAAAAATTAAGTGTGAAAGATTAAGAAAATTGCAGTCGTTGCCCATCAAATTATTCAAATTATAAGGTAGAATAAATTATCTAAAATAATTTACATAAAGATTAAGATTTAAAAGTTCAATAGGAGTGAAGAAAGGTATATGCATACTTTATAATTTCCCATGTAAAACAAGGTTCTATACTTTAATATTAGAATTTTAATTCAACTTATTTATTTTTTAAGTCTCAATTGAGTAAGCTAGAAAAGTAAATGAATAAAATTTTAATATTTGAAAACTTTTAAACTGAATTGAAGGAAATCAAGAACATGCACGCACAATTACAACAAATTAAAAGTTAAGAGACTGATTTGATAAATTTTAAAATTTAAAGATTAATTTGAAATTATTTAAAAATTGTGTACCAAATTGCTTGATCACTAAAAGTTTTAGATAAAATTAAAATTCAAATAAAGACAATTTTTACTTCTTAATTTTGAAGTTAATTAAGGAGAAGTGAAAATTTTAAAATTTATTAATTAGATAATTTTAAGAAAAATCTACATATCACCCCTGCTTTTCAAAATAAATTAAAAATTCAACTTTAAATTATATTATTTTATGAATTCAAAATTTAATTCAAAATTTAAAAATTTATCTGATATTTTTATTAAATATTGATATTTAGATTTCATTATATCTTATTAAGTATCAACATATAATATTATGTGATATTTATATTTCATTATATCTTGTTAAATCTATCTCATTATATCTTATTAAGTATCAACATATAATATTATGAAATTTTAAATTTTAAATTAAAATTTTAATTTTCAAATATACATTGAAACTTTAGTTTTTTTAAAATTGAGATTAATACGTATTCACCTCTAATTTTAATTAAGTAGATTTAATTACTTTAATTAAATCCAATAACTATAATTTATTTATTTTAATTAAAATTGATTAATTAATTCTATTATCTCTTGTTATTTGAGTTAAATTTGTTTTAAATTAATTGTTA